TCTGCTTTGTTCGTGCTTTACAATAAAAAAGTTGTGTTTGGTTACTCCTGCCTCGCTTCAATGTCTCTGATTATAAAACAGAACATTGCCTATTTTAACTTGCATTTCTATTCTGTTTTTTATGGCACTATTTTTCATAGGTTGGTCTGTTTTTTCCCTTTGTGTAAAGACAGATGCGAAAAACAGGTTAAATAGTTCTGCTTTCTCCCTCTTTTTGTCACCTTCTTGCCACTTTCACCCCTAATGGACCAATTGTTTCCTTCACTTTTTTTTTCCCTTCTGGATCACAAAACTAACAACTTTTGTAAGAAGCTGTGGTCTTCCTGTCCCTTGTGTAACAGAACAATTAAAAAAAAGCTGCCCAAAGAATTAAGGATATAAAAGCACAAAATGATATAGCGATCCTTACTAAGGTGGGTAACTTGACATGGCTCAGTAAATACAAACATACTTTTCAAGTAGACAGCTATTTGAAGTTACAACTATCAAAACACCTTAGGGAGAGATTCGAACAGCTTGACACAATGGTCAGATCTGGGAGATTCCATTCTATACCTTACAATGAGTGTCTCTGCATTTGCAGAGCGGCAGAGGTAGAAGACCTGGCTCACATACTATTTGATTGTTGCCTGTACAAGAGGGTGAGAGATAGGTACCTTGGTTTATATACCAAACAAATGACTCATTGGGATCCCCATATCAAAACAACTTGCCTTATGTGCAGCCAGATCTTGAAAATAACTTTTAATGCAGCACAGCACTTAAACAAAATGGTTCGGTTGAGATCTGCATATGTGGGACTGACTGATTGGGGTAGATTGCAAGGGTGACTCCAAGATATAATTTTATCATATTTTATCATCATTTTAAATTACTCTATTTTAATTCCATTTTAAACTGTATTTTATCAAATTTCATTTTAAGTCGTATTCTACTCCAATTCCATTTTAAACTGTATATTATTAAATTTCATTTTAAATTTTTATCAAACTTTAGTAATAATTTGTTGCTGGAACTTTGCACCTTGATATGGCCCAAGGGCTAATCAATAAAGACTTGTTATTACTAGTCTTTTAGCAGAAGACTTAAAGTGAACACAATGATTTGATTTTGAAAGAACTTTGAATGTTAAATAATAAATCATAGATATTTTTATAGTAAATTCAACACCTAATGGAAAAAAGTATAATTTATGTGTAAAACATATACAAATTTCTACTCTGAGAAGTCTATTTAGTTATCATACGGAATTAGAGATTTCTTTTAGCTTGTTCCTGATCTTTGGTTATACAGATTCTTGATGAATTGATTATAGGCCATCAAATGAATCAGATTTTCTGCAAGATAATCTGTTCTTTCACGGTTTCCAGAGGATTAGTATTTAAACAGAGACAGGAAAAACGAGGGGATCGGCGCCAGCTCCGTTAAACTGAAACCCTCAGTCCTCTACGCTCCCTTCTGCTCTAGCAACCCGGCAAACGAACCACCGGGAGAAACGCTTTACGCCTAGAGAGCAAGTCCCGTCTCCAGGAAGGGAGCATAGAGGGAAGGAAGCTCTCTGCTCCAGCCATCCTCCAGCTATCCTGCCGACCTCCAGCGCGAGGCAAAGGTGCTACCAGGCGCCTTCCGACGTTCAGCCCCCGATCCGTCCATCCTGCACTGGAACCAGAGACCAAGGAGAGCCCCACCTTTCAGCGGAGGCTCCCCGACTTCCATGCAGGGCGGAGGACCCGGACAGGAGAAAGCGGTCGATGAAGAGGGGCGACGCCGAGATGATCGGTCCTTCTCTGCCCTTTGCAAGCATCGCCTTCCCAGCCTCCGCTTCCACCTCCCGCCTTTCAGCGAACCCCGCCTCCCTCCGGAGAAGAGCAGCGGAGCAGACATTCTGGGAGGCCGGAAAAGGAAGATCCCCTTTCATTCTCTTCCTATCAGATCCACTCTAGGAAGCATACATCTATCGTTCTGGCTGCTTCTTGAGGTACGCGAAACGAGGAGCGCTCAGAAAATTGGCGGGAAGGATTTGCCGTTGCTCACCTCAGGCGGGTGAAGCCCGAGTGAGCGGAGACCCATTTCTGCCCTCCTGCAAACCGCAGAAGGGGCTTAGGAGGGGCTGGGGATCATTTGGGACTCTCTCGGGCTTCTTTTGGCTGCCCTCGAGCAGGAGACCCGACGGAAGCCCAGGGATCTCCAGGGATGGAGGCCGCCCTCAGCCCAGAGATCCACCGCCGGCGCTTCCTCGATCTCGACGGCTGCCGCCAGGAGGCCGAGGGGCCCCGGGAGCTTTGCAGCCGCCTGCACCGCCTGTGCCGCCAGTGGCGGCGGCCGGAGAGGAGCAGCAAAGGGGAGATGCTGGACCTGGTGGTGCTGGAGCAGCTGCTGGCCCTGCTGCCCGCGGAGATGGCGAGCTGGGTGAGGGAGTGCGGAGCCGAGAACTGTTCGCAGGCGGTGGCCCTGGCCGAAGGCTTCCTCCTCAGCCAAGCCCAGCGGGAAGAGCCGGGAAAGGGGCAGGTGAGGAGAACGGGGGGGGGGCTTCGTCCTGGGAGCTCCATGGGGCGGCGGGAGGGGGAGAGGAAGTATTAGCGATCTAGCTCTATCTGCAATAAGACATATTAAAAATATGACTGCAGCCTTTTCTGGAATTCCTCACTTTTGAAGAATTTATTTCTTCTTGAGGCAAATGCTTCTGTTTCCTAAATTAATTTATCCCTTTACACTTCTGTATCCTTTGTGATGTTATCCACATATTTCATAATAATCAGTGTTTACTTTGTGATCTGCTGTTACCTATATCTATATAAAGGGGAAGCACCTGGATTATGTGAATGGCCTCTGATACAGAGCCACATTTAATAAGCCCTAGAATACCACAATAGTAAGAGAAACAAACTAACACACTGTCAGAATCCAATTATACTTCATCTCCAGTTATCAAATATAGAAAACCCCAATTCTGCCTTCTCTGGATTCTGCCATAAGAGGGAGAGAAGGGGGAGAACAAAGGGGCTTTATGGCCCTCACTTCCTTCAGTATACTTCTAAGGAACTGAATGTGTGTATTGCAAAAGAACTAACCATAAGAATGGGGCCGTTTTCCTTTCATGTAGTTTCTTTGAAGTCTCCATCCAGCCGGGCAATAATGAAAAGGGGGGTGGAAGTGTAATGTCTGAGACTGTCGCTGAAAGAGGGGGTTGATTGGTTGGGGCTACTGGGGAAACCCTTAAAACCTTGGAGAGCTTGGACCCCAGGTCCTGTCTAGCACGCCTGCAACCACTTTTTCTTAATAAAGGATTCCTGTTGGAAGAATTATTCCAAGTGTTCTGTCTTCTTAAGATGCAAAGTGGGGTGGGTCCTTACACACACCCTTATAGTTTATGTACATAAAAACACAGCCTGCTGTTTTAACTCTCATTTCCTGAGAAATATAAGTACATGCAGTCTCCCTGAAGTGTCACTGAATTGGGTTGGGGAAATAGAAGTAGGAAAGCAAAATGTAAGTAATGCGAACTATACAGATATTGTCCTCTGAAAGTGGATTATGAATCAGGCTATTCTTCAAATGCAGGAGCCATTTACAGAGGAGATTTCAGCAGACCTCCGGGGCAGAGGAGATCGATCCAGCTCTATTCAGGAGCTGTTTTTCTGGAGGATCCAACTCTGGCCACCTTGCCAGGTAGGTGCAGGTTTCTTCTGAGAACAGTAGCGTTCCAGCTCCATCCATTCAGGAGCTATGTTTAATACCAAAAGCTGAGTCTGTCTGCACTTGAACACAATGTCCACCCACATTTGGATTTCAAGATTGTGTTGGAAATGCCAATGAGACAATTGATAGGCAGGAACCTTTTATTAGAAATGAAATTTAATTGTAGAAAGAGTTTAATATTTCTTAATACTATTAAGAAGAGTGCCTAAAATAGTTAGAAATGAAACCCATGAATTGAAACTATAACAGTGGGATTAAACATACTTAAGAAGTGTTTACTTTAGTAAATATTTATGCCACCCGTTTCCCTTGTAAGGTAACTAAGTATACCAAGAAAAATATAGCTCATGAAGGATAAGCCAGTAAGTCAACACTAACTGGCTGTAACAATAAAACTATTGTTCAACGTTGGCTGTATTGCATTCTACAACCTGGAAGTAGCTAATCCGTGATTTGTTAAGCTGCAACTTCCCAGCCGCATGGACTAGGTGGACACGGTGGCATGAATCTGTCCTGAAAGCAAATGTTCATTTACCTCTTGCAACTGTGCATTTTATGTTGTCTACATTAAGAGAGAGAAGTTTCAACTGTTTCCTGGGATTGTCTACTTTTTTCTCTTTCTAGAGCTCTGATCCCTTTGAGGAGGTGATTGTGGACTTCACAGATGAGGAGTGGAGGCTGCTAGATTCTGGCCAGAAGGCCTTGTGCAGAGAAGTTATGCAGGAGGTTTCTATCAATATGGCTGCTCTGGGTAAGGCCAGGCTGTTCAGTTCGCTATAAGGTTGTGACAGAAATATTCACCATAGAATTGAGAAATATTCTAGATACTCCATGGAAGTGACTGAATAGATTGACTTTAATCTATTTTTTTGCTGAAAACATTATATCTATATAATAGAGCCTCCTAGATAACAATTTGCAGATATCATATCCTGGCTAGACAAATGGATTGCACTAAACCTGGAACGCAGATTGGCATGTTTTTGATGTTTGTAATCAGAATATTAATTTTCATTTTTCCCATGCAGATGATGTGTTTCTGAATGAGAATGACAAGGAGGCAGGCATGCCTCTAGAAACTATGGAGAATAGCTCCTTCGCTTCTACTTCACGAAAGAAATACGAACCACATATCTCTGTAATATCTTTGGTGGATTCCAGCCTGAGCAGAAAGAGGAAACGCTGCATGCAGTATGGCAAGAGTTTCAGTACAAAAAGTAATCTTAATGTCCACCAAAAGATGCAAACCGGGGAGAGATCATATGAATGCATAGAATGTGGAAAGAGCTTTATCCGGAAAGAAAATCTTAAACTTCATGAGAGGATCCACACTGGGGACAGACTGTATAAATGCATGGAATGTGGAAAGAGCTTTACGCAGAAAGGAAATCTTAATCTTCATGAGAGGATGCACACTGGGGACAGACCGTATAAATGCATGGAATGTGGAAAGAGCTTTACCCAGAAAGGAAATCTTAATCTTCATGGGAGGATCCACACTGGGGAAAGACCATATAAATGCATGGAATGTGGAAAGAGCTTTATCCGGAAAGAAAGTCTTAATCTTCATGAGAGGATCCACACTGGGGACAGACCATATAAATGCATGGGATGTGGAAAAAGCTTTACTCAGAAAGGTCATCTTAAACTTCATGAGAGGATGCACACTGGGGACAGACCGTATAAATGCATGAAATGTGGAATGACCTTTACCCAGAAAGGACCTCTTAATCGTCACAAAAGGATCCACACTAGGGACAGACCGTATAAATGCATGAAATTTGGAAAGGGCTTTACCGGGAAAGGACGTCTCAGTTTTCATGAGAGGATCCACACTGGGGACAGACCGTATAAATGCATGGAATGTGGAAAGAGCTTTATCCGGAAAGAAAGTCTTAATCTTCATGAGAGGATGCACACTGGGGACAGACCGTATAAATGCATGGAATGTGGAAAGAGCTTTATCCGGAAAGAAAGTCTTAATCTTCATGAGAGGATCCACACTGGGGACAGACCATATAAAATCATGGAATGTGCAAAGAGCTTTACCCAGAAAGTTGATCTTAATCCTCACGAAAGGATCCACACTCGGGACAGGACTTTTAAATGCACGGAATGTGGAAAGACCTTTACCCGGAAACAATATCTTAATCTTCATGAGAGGATCCACACTGGGCACAGACTGTATAAATGCATGGAATGTGGAAAGACCTTTACCCAGAAAGGAAATCTTAATCGTCACAAAAGGATCCACACTGGGGACAGACCATATAAATGTATGGAATGTGGAAAGAGCTTTACCCAGAAAGGAAATCTTAATGTTCATGAGAGGATCCACACTGGGCACAGACCGTATAAATGCATGAAATAATGACCTTTACCCAGAAAGGACCTCTTAATCTTCATGAGAGGATCCACACTGAGAACAGACAGTATAAATTCGTGGAATGTGGAAAGACCTTTACCCAGAAAGGACCTCTTAATCGTCAAAAAAGGATCCACACTGGGGACAGACCATATAAATGCCTGCAATGTGGAAAGACCTTTACCCAGAAAGGACCTTTTAATCGTCACAAAAGGATCCACACTGGGGACAGATAAATGTCTGGAATGTGGAAAGAAGGTTATCCAGAAAGGACAACTTAATCTTCATGAGAGGATCCACAATGCATGAAATGTGGAATGACTGTTTCCCAGAAATTTGATCCTAATTTTAAGAAAAAGATGCACACTGGGGACTGACCGTATCAATGCCTGGAATGTGGAAAGAGTTTCATTAGGTACGTTCATCTTAATTGCCACCAAAACAACCACACTGAGCAGCGACCATTAAATGTATGGAATGTGGAAAGACCTTTAACTGGAAAGGATATCTTAAATCGTCGCAAAAGTATCCATACTAGGGACAGTGTATAAATGCATGGAATGTGGAAAGAGCTTCATTAGAAAGTCATCTTAATTGGCACCAAAGGACTCACAGTGGGAACCGACCATATAATAGACTGGAAAAAGCTATATTGGGAAAGCTCATCTTAATTGTTATGAAAGGATCCACACTGGGGATAGACCGCATTAATGCACAGAGTGTGAAAATAGCTTAACTTGGAAAACACAATTCTCATAAAGAGCATATAAACCCACGTAGAGTAGAAAGAGCCTTTCTGAGGAGAGAGACGATACTTGCCACCAAAGTATCCACAGGGGAACCAGCCCTCAAATGTATTGAGTGTGGACAGAAAAAGCCTTTAATGACTGCAGGTAGTCCTTGATTTAGAACCACAATTGAGCCCAAAATTTCTCTTGTTAAGTGAGACATTTGTTAAGTGAATTTTGCCCCATTTTACTGCATTTGTTACCTATGTTGTTAAGTGAATAACTGCAGTTGATAAATTAGTAATCTGGTTGTTAAGTGAATCTGGATTTCCTCATTGACTTTGCTTGTTAGAACATCGCAAAAGGGGATCACATGATCTTGGGACACAGCAAGAGTCCTGAATATAAGCCAGTTGCCAAGCATCTGGATGTTGATCACATGATCATGAGGATGTTGCAATGGTTAAGTGTGAAAATTGTCATAAATCACTTTTTTCAGTGCCGTTGTAACTTTGAAATGTCACTAAACAAAGTAATTCATACGAGGAAAAGAAATTCAAGCCTATTTCAACCTCCTAGCCTCCTCAGGAATGTAAGAAGCTGCAGCTTTTGAGCAATTGGCCAGAATTAATTCATTCCTCTCTTTCTCTCTTTCCTCTTAATGCAGGAATTAATTGATTCCTTTCAGCTGATATTCTAACTATTCATTCTCATTGAAAATATAGTAACCTTATTAGAAAGTGTTACATGCCTTTGTTTCTCTTCTTTACAAACAAACAGTGGAAAAGACTTCTGGAGAACATGTATAGGGAGGGGGTAATGGGAGAATGAGAATGACTTTGGGAGAAGTGCGAAAAGCCTTAGGCTGAACAACTATTATCTAAAAAATAATCTAGTCCCCAGAAGGAGATTGTGAGGGTGACGGGGGATTGGAAGAATTGCAAAAGAAACTCCCTAATTTTTCAAAGAGTAAAAGGAGAGGATGGAAAAAATACTTTTACAATTTCAGGATTGTGGCCTTGCAGTAGATAGCGCTAGTATTCATTCTCGTGCCTCTTGTCTGGACTATTTTGAGGGGCTGACAACATGTCCTTACTGTCAGGATTTCCAGACCAGGAATGTAGACCCCAAGCCTGTACCCAAGACAACTTATGTACCCAACAATAGCTCTTCCCAAAGATAGGAAGAAAGAGACAGAGGTACAAAGAAACACACAAAGAAAAACTCAGTCACAAACCTGCCCCTATCTCAATTGGAGCATCTCATTTATGTGATCATTTTAGGAATCTTGTATCATAACCTAAGTACTTAATAACCACAAATGAATGCTCTTTTTCATGGAGAGAACATATTAAGCAAACCAGGTATTGGAAAGTTATTTTTCTTCTAGGCAGGCAAATATTTTAGGCAAAAAGAAGGAAGCAACTGTATTTATATAACAAGGCTGTGAATTATTGCAAAGAATAGAGGAAAAATTACAAAAGTTATTAACTAAAAGATGAATGTGTTTAGGTGGACCAAACAGTTTGTATATTTGAAAATGTTTAATATTAGAAACTGAACATGACCCTTCATGATTTTTGGTTACATCAAGTACAAACGTCAGAAAGCAACATTTTACAGTAGAAGGCATTATCATATCAGAGTTTGAATATATTTATGGTATCTCCAGTGCTTTCCCACCTGTTGCCAAGTGCCTGTAATCATGTAATTAATGTTTGGAACTTTTCTGCAGACTTTACCGAAAGTCAATGAAGAAGGCTGCAAGGAAGGACTGGTTTCTGGGGCCTGACTGAAAAGAGTCCACTCCAAAATCCAAACTAACCTTTTTCAGCCGGCCTATTGAACCCTGGGCTATTCAGCATGCTTCTCTTTTGCTCTCAAAGAGACTGGCTGAAAATATCCCCCCCTAAAAAGGTGTTTCTAGGGGCGATTCCTGGACTAGGCTGGCTAAATGAACTTTGGATTCCAAGGATCCGAGCCTTCTTCAGCATGCATTTTATCTTCTGGAGGAAAAGGAGAGCTGTCGTGCTGCAAAGGACCATAAGCTGCAACCACCTCCAGCTGCAAAGCTCAAGAACATTCCAGAGTGTTCTGTGTTTGTTCTTTTCCAGCTGGAATAATCTGGATGTAGAAATGATCACTGAACATCCAGTGGGAAAAGGACATCCGCAGGAGACTTACCATCGCTATTCCTACATAAGAGATCTGCAAGTTCTTGACGTCTTGAAAGGCAAATCCAAGATGCCACCTTAAGGAAAGCCCCTTTGTATCTTTAAATATAGTCCTCTCTGGAAGAGGATAATGAACACACACACACCACAAAGAAAGGAGCAGAAATGGATACTAGAGGAATGCAGGTGAAGAAAGGCTGGTATTTCTGCACCAAATGGGACTGACTAGGGCAGTGATGGTGAACCTTTCAAAGAGTGGCCAAACTGCAACCCAAAACGCACTTATGTGTGGCCAATTGGGTGGGCGTGGTCCATTGGGTGGGCATGGCTGCAGTGGTAATGGTAGACTGGGTGGGACTAAAAAGTTCAATCAATTCCAACTTTGCAAGATCTTTTTTTTCCTGGAAAGAAATTAATTGATTGAACCTTTTTTTTTTTTTTGCATACGGCGGTGGAGGCCTAACGTGAAAAGATTTTATAAGGTCTAGGATTGGAGTGATGGTGGGCATGCCCACAGAGAGCGCTCTCTGTGCCATCTGTGGCATGCGTGCCATAGGTTTGCCACCATGGGACTAGGGAGTCTCCGCACACACTAGCAGCCACATTGCCTCTCCCCCAATTTCCACTGCAGCACACATATCTCCCAGAAAGTTTTCCCTCTTCGGCCCCTCTCCAAGTATAGTGCAGCCCCAGTCCTCCCATGGATCCAGAATCTTCACTGCATTCTTCTACAGTCCTCTTAAAGTGCCCCCAACACCACTACTATCAGCAACTCCTTCCACAGCTGGTTTTTGGCAGAGTGCCCCCTTAAGGGACAGCTCAGACCCTCCTATAAATGAATAACTTATGTTGACACCTAATAGGATCTGAAGTTGGAGAGAGGCAAACAGCAACACTATTTTGCACAAAGGCTCCTCCAGTGAAAGAGCAAAGGATCAAGAACTTAGGCGAGGGATCCACGTGTTTCCACTTGAAAGCTGTCCTTCCCCGCCACTGTCCCCTGGCATTATAGGAGCAGCAGAACACTCGCCAAAGTTTCTTCTGCGCATTGCAGAAGATTTGTGTGGACAATGATTTGTTCACTGTAGCCTCCAAGGGAAGTAGAATTGAGTGAACTAAGTCCTAACCGTGAGGACATTTAAAGAGTGGAACAGCTTACCTGCAGAAGTTGTGGGTGCTTCCTCACTGGAGTTTTTTAAGAAGAGGCCTGACAGTCTTTTGTACGAAATAGTAAAGAGTCTCCTGCTTGAGCAGGGGTCTGGACTAGAAGACCTCCAGCGCCCCTTCCCTCTCTATTCTGATTGATTGCTTGAATGGATGCATTTTTCCCCCAAATTACGGAAACTTCCAGAGGAATTAAATGTCCCCAAGGAGAAATTAAATTAGGCATCATAGGACTCTACAACAATGTTCTGTGTCAATGGCAATTTAATTGGAGCAATTTCACGCAGCCCCCTTTCCTAACAGAGATCAGCAATAAGAAAAAACTAAAAATTTATAGGAATGTTTTCTCTATCATTAATTCCATCATTATGTAAAATAAATGACAGCATCAATATTAAAGAGGATAAACCACTAAATTGGGTAATATCCAGAAGCTCACAAAATATATCCTGAGGGAAAATATTAAAGGAGGTGGGAAGAGAGAAACTTCGTGCGGCAACAAAGTATACCCAGGAAGCAAGGAATGTGGAGTGTTTGTCAAATGGCAAGAACAGAAAAAAATACAATATTCTGCCAAAGGATAGGGACAATTGATCAACAGGATAATCATTGTACCCCAGAAAATAAGAGAAAGAGTGAAAATAATTTTGAAACTTTAAAAAAGAATTGTATTAATGGACAATGTGGCTATAACACTAATAAAAAGAAGTTAACAAAATATGTAGAAGGTGAAACAATTGATTAAAAAAATCAGGTTTTGAGATTGAATAAAAAGTAAAAGACTTGGGTGTTAATCTGAGAAATATGAACTGTATATTGTAGTGATGGGGAACCTTTTAAAGACCAAGTGCCCCAAAACCGCCTGCCCTAGCCCGTCCCCGCTCCGCCCCCCCCCGCAGGGCCACTCACCAGATCGCCCAGGCAGCTTTGCAACGCCATGGTGGCCACGCCCTCTAGCTGAATCCCATAGCATCATCTGCACGTGATATAGCACGAGGGCGGAGTCTTGCCCCTGCTGCCCACGTGCCATGTGCTTGGCTGTGTTGCTCGCATGGGCCACAGTGGGGGGAGGCAGGGCTGGGGCAATGCCTCGCATGCCCACAGAGAGGGCTCCAAGTGCCACCTCTGGCATACGTGCCATAGGTTCACCACCACTGGTATATTGTTTCAAACTAATTATGTTAAGCTGTGGGTTGAAGTTGATAAAGATATGTTTAAGAGAAAAAAACTACAATACAATAGTTCTGAAATAAAAAAAATAAAAATTCATGAGAATAATGAAAATACAAATGCATGATTTAGCAGGGGGCTTCCCTCTTCTCAGCCACTCCTCAACCAAAGCCCACTGGAGCCACCAGAGTTGAGTTAGGATTGGAAGCGGTTCTTTTTTTTTTAATAAAATTTTATTGAGTTTTTAGGCTTCCGTTCCGTTTTGCGGCGGTGCGGTTGAGCAAAGGGCGTCGTCCCTTTGCCAATTGAGTTTCCCCTGCTGGTAGACCCCTTAGAGCAGTGGTTCTCAAACTTTTTAATGCCGCGACCCTCAACCGGTCATAAGTCGAGGACTACTCAACCGGTCGTAAGTCGAGGACTACTCGTGCAGCACCATTTGCAGAATGGGACTTTTGGTGGGCTCAGCAGGGCAGAGACAGCCTGGACAATTCCTATTGGCTTTTGAAAGCCAATAGAATTAGACTCTATTCAAGAGATGGCCGATCATTTAGCTGCGCCAACCGTAAACCATAAGATTATCTAAGCAAGCAGACCCATCGTGGAAGATTTGGTGAGATTTTTTTTAACCTCTATTTTTTTTCCTGTGAAAGGTTTTTTTTTTTTGTGGAATTATTCCTCTTTTTGTTGAAGCGGCGTTTTAAATGGGGGGAGGAGAAGCTTAAGGACGAAATCTATCTTTGTTTTAATGGCTGATTCTATTTTTGAATACTTTGGAGCCCCCAAAAATTTTCTTTTAGAGAGACTTAAGAGGCTATGTATCTGGAGAGTATTTTTTTTTTTTTTACTTTTTATGTTTTCCGAAAAGACTGATTATTTGATTAATTTTGATTACTTGTTGGGGGACATTTTCTGATGAAACTATGTATTGCTCTTGCTATTTTTTTTTCTTTTCTCTTGGAATTTGCATAAAAGAAATGGACTAAGAAACTTGGGGGGAGATGGATATTGAGTGACTGTGTTTAAATATAGTCTCCCCCCAAAAGATAATGTCTTCAAATATGATAAAAATGGAGAAAACCTGTTCAGACTATTTATAAATATATTTTGGATAAAATCTTAGAAAACATGGAGATGATAATTGTTTGTAAAAAGGAGATTTCTTTACATCGACAAAGTTAAGCACAAGCTTTAAGTGAAACTGTAGTCTGTATTCAAAAAACTTGCTCTCAGCTTACTGAGACGGAAGAAGCAAATGTACAGTTGGATTTGGAACCGATACCAGGAACAAGCTTTGATATAAATGGTCAGATGACCTATGATACGGAAATGGAGGAGCTTCGGATGGTCAAGCGGATTTGCAGATATGATTTGACTGTCTGAGAAAGGAAAAACTATTGGAAGAAGAGCAAAACTTGATTAAAGAGGACTATACACCCCCCCCCCAAAAAAAGGATTTCAACTAAAGTTTATGCAACCTTGAAAAAGATGGTAAATGACGTTTTGGCATGAGCTTTTCAGAATGACTATAACTCTTATACCAGCCTAAGAAAATGGATAATGGGAGATCTCTTGCTCCTATGCACAGTATGGCAGGTGACAATGGGAGAGCTATTTGCGGAACTAGAGACTCGACTATGGAAACCTATTTGGAATAGAAGGAAACCCAGAATAAGATATAAATATTAAATTTGAGATGATAATTATGGATGGTAAAGGTTTTATAGCAATTTGGACTGTCTTGGATTTGGTTTGTGTTAAATGGGAGGCTATTATGAAATGATTTAGAATTTAATATTGAAGTATAGCAAGAATGAGTTTTTTTGTGTGTGTATGTTTTTCTTTTTTTCTTTTCCTATTTGTGGTTTTTGTTTTGGAATGAGATGGAATTAATAATTGGAGAATTATTGGAAAAGAATAGAAATATAGTTGAGAAATGTAGGAATTTAGTTTTGGAGCTAAATAAGAGAAATTTGGGGGCCCTGAAATAGTTAAATAATTAGGTTAGCTTAAAGTCAAATATTTGGAAAAATTAATAAAGTTTAAAACAGGATCTTTGTGATAGATAAGGAGCTTTCATAAAAGATTATTGACTAATGAAATTTATATCTGGCAATATACTTAATGAAAATCTGTGTTGAAATGTACTAATGAAAGTCCAGTAATTTAAATAAAGAGCGTTGGTTTTGATTCAAGCATTTAATTTATATATAGCGATATATTAATGAATGAATTGGTTAGAGGATTGTACTAATTTGATTATTATATTGATATTGAGTGGTTGAAAGTCTTTACTGATTAAGGAAATTTATATTTAGATATATTAATGAATGAATTTATTTGAATTTAATTGATTATAATATTCTACATAGATAGTTTTATTCTATATTCTACATAGATAAGGGGAAGTTTTAAGAAATATTGTGTGAATTGTATACTTATAATGCTATTGTTTTCTTTTTGTAATTGACCACCGTATCTCCAGGCCGGTTCTTAAGCCTCTGTTGGTATAAAATGGAAAAATAATAAAAATTGTTTATAAAAAATTTTTTTATTGAGTTTTATGAGGTTGGGGAAGGATAGGATCAAGGTAGGGATTAAGGTTTGAGGTAGGGTTGGAATCAGGATTGGGGTTGGGACAGGATTGGGAACAACATTGGGGCTGGCCCCCAGTAACATTTTCAAGCTTTAGCAAATAGACTATTGTCCGGGTACATATGTTCAATAACAGTAATTAATATAATAGTAAATAGCTATAATAAATATAAGAAACAATAATCATAAACAATATCAGTTAATCAATACATATCCTTCATCTTATTAAAATATATTTACCATTAAATATCACAATCATTTCTCACTAGTTCGTTTTGCTAACCATTGATAGAGGTTATTCCATGTTTTAAAATAAATTGAGTGTTCTTTCTCTTTAAACTCTAAAATTAATCTATCCATTTCTGCACATTCTAAAATTTTCTTATGATCTCTTCAGATGGTAAATTTTCATTTTTCCAATATTGGGCAAATGCTATTCTCGCTGCTGTCAATGTATGCAATATTAAATACTCATTTTCCTTCTCATACTTAGCTCCTAGTATTCTTAACAAAAACAGTTCTGGTTTAAATTCTATCTGTGTTTTAGTCATTTTTTCCAACTATATATGAATCTTAAGCCAAAATTTTTTTCACACTAGGGTATACCCACCAGGTATGATAATAAGTGCCTGGCTTTTGTTTGCATTTCCAACAGTTGTTCGAAACATTTTAAAACATTTTTGCTAGTCTTAAACTGGTGTCATGTGCCATCTATAAAACATTTTATACAAATTTTCTTTGAAGCTGCTTTAGTCAGTTTAATGTTTCTATCCCATAACTTTTGCCAATCTTCTAAGTCTATAGAGTATCCAAACAATTTTGCCCATATTATCATTGTTTCTTTTACTTGTCCGTCTTTCATCTTCAACTTTTGAAGAAATCTGTAAAGTTTCTTAATCAAGTGTTCATCTATTTTTAAAAGTATTCGATCAAATTCTATCTGTTCTCCCATTGTCTTTACATCTTTTTCGTATCTTGTTTGAATTTGTAAATAAGGCCACCATGCTAAGTCAATACCTTGTTGTTGTAAGTCTTACCTATCTTTCAGTTTTCCATCCTTGTCCAAAATATCTTTGTAAGTAATAACTTTGTCGTAGTTAATTAAATTTGGGTAAGCAAAAGCTCCCGTTGTTGAAAACCACTCAGGTAGTTTAACGTAAATTTTTTGTTTTATTCTTTCCCATTCTAAAAGCAGTACATTCCTTATAGCATGGTTTTGGAAATATCTGTGTGTTTTATTTTTCCCGTACCACAGAAAAGCATGCCAACCCATTTGTAGGTCATGCCCCTCTAGGTACAGTAACCTTTTCTTTCTCAGTGTTATCCATTCTTTAAGCCACGGTAAGATAGCTTCTTGATAATATAGTCTCCACTACGGAAGCCCAAATTCTCCCCCGTCTTTAGCTTCTTGTAGCATTTTCACTTTAATTCGTGCTTTCTTCCCTTGCCAGATAAGTAAGCAGTTCTTGTTCCCCATTTACAAACTTACCTGTAATATTTGACCAGAAAGGGAAAAGCCTCCTATAACAAATGCTTAAATTTGGGGGTGGCGGCATTTAAGAATCAACTTTGCTACTCTTTGTTCTGAGTTCACTTCTTGTCTTTTAGCAAGAACTGCTAAAAGGACTGAAAACAACAGTCTGATTTTCAAAGAGCTTTGAATGGTAAATAATAAATATATTTATATTATAAATTCAACACGTAAAGGAGGAAAGTATAATTCCTATGTAAAACATATGCAAATTGCTACTCTGAGAAGTCTATTTAGTTATCATATGAAATTAAGAAATATTTATATCTTATTTTTGATCTTTAGTTATACAAATTCTTGATAAATTGGTTACAGGCCATCAAATGAGTATTGGTTATTCAGATAGATAAGATTTTCTCCAGTATAATCTATTGTTTCACAATTTCCAGAGGAGGAATATTTAAACAGAGACATAAAAAATGAGGGGATCGGCGCCAGCTCTGTTCAACCAAAACCCTAGGTCCTCTACGCTCCCTTCTGCTCTAGCAACCCGGCAGACGAATCACCGGGAGAAACGCTTTACGCCTAGGGACAGCAAGTCCCGTCTCCAGGAAGGGAGCATAGAGGGAAGGAAGCTCTCTGCTCCAGCCATCCTGCCAACCTCGCAGCCCAAACTAACATGGATATGGTCCTCTGAAAGTGGATTATGAACTAGTTTGTTCTTCTGATGCAGGAGCCATTCACAGAGGAGATTTCAGCAGAGCTCCGGGGCAGAGGAGATCTATTCCGCTCTATCCAGGAGCTGTTTTTCTGGAGGATCCAACTCTGGCCACCTTGCCAGGTAAGTGCAGGTTTCTTCTGAGAAGAGTAGCATTCCAGCTCCATCCATTCAGGAGCTGTGTTTAATACCGAAAGCTGTATGCACTTGAACACAGTATCCACCCACATTTGGCTTTCCAGATTGTCCTGGAGATGTAAATGAGACAATTCATAGGCAGGAACCTTTTATTAGAAATGAAATTTAATTGTTGAAAAGTTTAATATTTCTTAATACTATTAAGAAGAGTGCCTAAAATAGTTAGAAATGAAACCCATGGATTGAAACTATAATGGTGGGATTAAACATACTTATGAAATGTTTATTTTATTAAATATTTATGCCACCTGTCTCCCTTGTAATGTGTCTGTAAATATACCAAGAAAAATATAGCATATGAAGGATAAGCCAGTAAGTCAACACTAAGAGGCTGTAAGAATAAAATTGTTCAAGTGACTTGGGATTTCAAGGTCATTACCAAAAATTTAAAATAGGTTAGGAAAGAAGTTCCTAGTGGCTCTGTCCTGTTTTGTCAGGAATTTGTCAGGCAGGTAAGTCTAGTGCATTTTCTGCCATAAACCTACTTACTGAGTTACCCCAGACCAGTGGGAAGCTCCCCATGTTTTGCTGTGTTGCATTCTACAACCTGGAAGCCATGGTTTGTGTAGCTGCAGCTTCCTAGCCCCGTGGACTATATGGACAGGATGACATGAATCTGTCCTGAAAGAAAATGTCCATTTGGTCTCTCACACATGTGTGCTTTCTGTTGTGTGTTGTAAGAGAGAGAACTTTCAACTGTTTCCTGAGATTGTCTGCTTTTTTTTTTTCTTTCTAGAGCTCTGATTCCTTTGAGGAGGTGACTGTGGACTTCACAGATGAGGCTGCTAGATTCCAGCCAGAAGGCCTTGTGCAGAGAAGTCGTGCAGGAGTTTTCTAGGAATAAGGCTGCTCTGGGTAAGGCCAGGCTGTTCAATTCTCTATAAGGCCATAGTAGAAATATTCACCATAGAATTGAGAAATGTCCTAAATACACCATGGAAGTGACTGAATAGATTGACTGATCAACACCAAAGCTTTAACCTGCTTTTTCGCTGAAATCATTCTTTCTTTCAGAAGACTACTAGATAAAAAATAGAAGATATCACATGGATTGAACTAAATCTGGAATGCAGATTGGCATATTTTTGCGGGCGGGGGAGCTTCTAAAGTCTAAATCAATGTTAATTTTATTTTTTTCCTTGCAGATGATGTGACTGTGAATGAGAACGATGAGTCAAGATTAGATCTACTCGAAATAGAGAAGAATGAAGTAAAAGTAATTCTTGGCCATCAGAGGGGCACCAAAAGGCTAAAGAGAAAACAGCCAGAAAATAGAGGGGAGAAGTCATCCACTTCTCTTGATATTCATGGCTTCCTATCCCAGCAAGATCAAAAAGAAATGAGAAAAGGAAAATATAGAAAAAAAGAAAACATGAATTACATAACTATGGCAAAAACCAGACTAAAAAAAACTTGCATGCCTCTAGAGACTACGGAGAATACCTCATTCGCTTCTACTTCACCAAAAAAACTGTATGGGAAATGCAAACCACCTATCTCTGTAAAAACTGGGGTGGGTGGGTTCCAGTCTGAGCAGAAAGAGGAAAGTCTTCATGCAGTGTGGAAACAGTTTCAGTAGGAAAAGTAAACTTATTTGCCACCAAAGGGTCCACACTGGGGAGAGACCATGTAAATGCATGGAATGTGGAAAGACCTTTACCCAGCAAGTACATCATATTCATCACAAAAGGATCCACACTGGGGAGAGACCGTATAAATGCACGGAATGTGGAATCAGTTTCAGTAGAAACAGTAATTGTATTTGTCACAGAAAGATCTACACTGGGAAGCGATGGTATAAATGCATGAAATGTCGAAAGACATTTAACCAGAAAGGACATCTTAATCATCATGAAAGGAACCACATGGGAGAGACCATACAAATGCACGGAATGTGAAAAGAGCTTTACCCGGAAAAGATATTTTAATCTTCATGAGAGGATCCACACTGGGGACAGACCGTATAAATGCATAAATGTGGAAAGACCATTACCTGGAAAAGTGATTTTAATCATCACAAAAGTATCCACACTGGGGACAGACCATATAAATGCATGGAATGTGGAAAGACCTTTATCTGGAAAAGAGATCTTAAGCGTCACAAAAGGATCCGCATGGGGAGAGACCCTATAAATGCATGGAATGTGGAAAGAGCTTTACCCGGAAAGGATATCTTAATCTTCATGAAAGGATCCATACTGGGAACAGACGGTATAAATGCATGGAATGAGGAAAGAGTTTTATTAGCAATAGACATCTTAATTATCACCAAAGGTTTCACAGTGGGAAGCAACCATATAAGTAGATAGACTGGAAAAAGCTATACTGGGAAAGCTCATCTTAATTGTCATGAATTATCATGAAAGGATCATGAATTGTCATGAAAGGATCCACACTGGGGATAGACCGCATTAATGCACAGAGTGTGGAAATAGCTTTACTTGGAAAACACAATTCTCATAGAGAGCATATGGAGGGTAGAAAGATCCTTTCTGAGGAGAGAGGTAATAGTGGCCACCAAAGTATTGGATGGTAAATAATAAATATATTTATATTATAAATTCAACATGTAAAGGAGAAAAATATAATTCCTGTGTAAAACATATGCAAATTGCTACTCTGAGAAGTCTATTTAGTTATATAAAATTAAGAAATAATTTTAGCTTATTCTTCATCTTTAGTTATACAAATTTCTTAAAAAATTGGTTACCGGCCATCAAATGAGCAGGGGTTTGCAACCTTAAACACTCAAAGAGCCACTTGGACCCGTTTCCCAGAGAAAAGAAAACTCTGGGAGCTGCAAAGGTTGTCTGCATGCGGGCGAATGGGGGAGAGCTTGATTGAAGAGTTTAATTAAAGAGAAATAGAGGCTGCTGTGCATGAGTTCTCTCTTTCTCTCTCTCTTACCTCTCTCTTTCCTCTCTTCTCTTTCCTCCCCTCTCCTTCTGTCTTTCCTGTTTCCCTTTCTCTCTTGCTCTTTCCTCTCCCTTTCCCTTTCCTCCCATCCTCTCTCCTCTCCCTTTTTCTCCCCCCCTCACATTTTCTCTCCCTTTTTCTTTTTCCTCTCTCCCTTTTGTCTCCCTTTCCTCTTTCTTTCCTCCCTCTTTCCTCTCCCTCTCTCCCCTTTTCTCTCTTCCTCTCCCTTTTTCTTTCCCTCTCCCTTTTTTCTCTTTTTTCTTTCTCTCCTCTCCCTTTCTATCTTCCTCATTCTTTCCTCTCCCTTTCTTTCCTCTCCCCTCCTGATCTCTTTCCCCTCCCTTTCTCTATTCTCTCCCTCTTTCCTGCCCCCTTTCTTTTTTTCCGACTTTTGTCCCCCCCTCTCTGCCTCTTTGTCTCCCTATTTTTTCTCTCTCCCCATTTTTTCTCTCCCTTTCATCTGTCTTTCCTCTCTCCCTCCCTCTTTTTCTTTCACTCCCTCTTTTTCTCTCTCCCTATTTCTCTTTTTTCTCTCACTGTTTTTTCTCTTTTGTCTCCCTCTTTCCTGTTTCTCTTTCCTCTCCCTCTTTCTTTCTCCCTATCTCCCTTTCTCTCCCTCTCCTCTCCCTCTTTTTCTCTTTCTCTCCCTTTTTTCTCTCTCCCTTTCTCTCACTCTCTCCTTATCTTTCTTTGTCCCCCTTTTTCTCTTCCTCTTTTTCTCTGTCCTTTCCCTCTTTCCCTCATTTTTTCTCTCCCTTTCCCTCTCTTCTCTCTCCCCCCTCTCCCTCTTTTTCTCCCTTTCTCCCTCCCTTTTTCTGTCTCTCCCTTTTTTCTTTATCTCTTTCTCTCTCCCACCCTTTCTCTCCCTTTTTCTCTCCCTTTCTCTCCCTCTCATTTTTTCTCTTTCTTTTTCTCCTCTCTCTCTCCCTCTCCTCTCTCTCTCTCTCCCCCTCTCCCTCTCTCTGATCTTCTCACCTGGCAAGCTGGCTTCAGACTGTTCTCCTGTCCTTCCTGCTTCCTACAGAGATGCAGCAAAGGGATGAGCCCCACCCAATGAGCTTGTCAGCTTGTCAGAACAGCGTGAGGCCACTTTCTTTTTGAGAGAGAGAGAGAGAGAGAGGGAGAGAGAGAGAGAGAGAGAGAGAGAGAGAGAGAGAAGGGAAGCGCAAGTGCCTGTCTCTGTCTCTGCAAATGGCAGAGGAGGCTGGGAGCCGCAGGAGAATGCTCAAAGAGCCACATGTGGCTCCGGAGCAGCAGATTGCTGACCTGTGGCCTAGAGAGCAAGTCCCATGTCCAGGAAGGGAGCATAGAGGAAAGGAAGCTCTGCTCCAGCCCTCAGTCCTCTACGCTCCCTTCTTTAGGAACCTGGCAAACGAACCACCGGGAGAAACACTTAACACCTAGAGAGCAAGTCCCGTCTCCAGGAAGGGAGCACAGAGGGAAGGAAGCTCTCTGCTCCAGCCATCCTGCCAGCCTCCAGAGCGAGGCAGAGGGTGAGGCTTCCCCTTGTTTGCAGCCCCGGATCCAACCTGCCTTCCCCTCCTGCCACCCTCCCCGATTTCCATCCTGTCTCGGTCTCTACACCTGACGGAGGCGGCTGCACTCACAAAGCTGTAGTTTCCAAGGAAAGGCGTTGGTTGGAAAAGGTGCTACCAGGTGCCTTCCTACGTTCACCCCCGATCTGTCCATCCTGTGCTCGACCCTTAGACCAAGGAGAGCCCCTCTGATCACAAGAAAGGAACACATCATAGAACGCAGACTACGGTATACAGTATATTTTGAATAGAATTTATTATCTTCAGTTAACATTACAAATACGCAGAGAAATTCAAGCTTGGGATGAGAACAAGGTACTGTACATTTGAAGAGAAAAATCACGGCTGCAATCTGGATATTGATGTAAAATAAAATGACAACATCCATATCATATAATAGCCTGAAAAAAATTATACTGGGAAAGCTCATCTTAATTGTCATGAAAGGATCCACACTGGGGATAAACCGAATTAATGCACAGAGTATGAAAATAGCTTTACTTGGAAAACAAATTCTCATAAAGAGCATATAAATCCACGTAGAGTAGAAAGAGCCTTTCTGAGGAGAGAGGCGATACTGGCCACCAAAGTATCCTCGGGGGAACCAGCCCACAACTGTATTGAGTGCGGAGGGAAAAAGCCTTTAATGACTACAGGTAGTCCTTGACTTACAACCACAATTGAGCCCAAAATTTATCTTGTTAAGTGAGACATTTGTTAAGTAAATTTTACTCCATTTTACTGTATTTCTTGCCTATGTTGTTAAGTGAATAACTGCAGTTGTCTAGGCTGGACAGGTGCTCACTTACCGTTTTCTTGCCTGTTATGTCCTGGGCCTGCTGAATGGCTCAGGAGGCTGCAGAAGGCCCAGGCAGACCACGTGGTTACCCGGGATCAGACAGGCTGTCTCCAGCCTTGTGAGCATGTGCAAGGTGGGAGACTAGCCTTGCACTGATAGGCTGATGCTGTCCCTGCAAGGGAAGTATAAAAGGACCAGCACCATATTGTTTGCTGTTCTGTTCTGTTCGTGCTTTACAATAAAGAAGTTGTGTTTGGTTACTCCTGCCTCGCTTCGATGTCTCTGATTATAAAACAGAACATTGGCGACGAAGGTGAAATTGGCTGCAAAAAGAACAATAGGAGAAGCTAGGCTGACTTACCAGAGGAGGCCTGAAGCACTGGGAAGTTTGGCGTCCAGAGGAAGCGATTGCCTGCCAGTATGAGAACGCTGGAGGTGAGCTCGGCTTCGAGGGACCCCTTCTCATATTTTGCAGTGAGAGGCATTGGAGGCTCCAGGCTATAATGATAAAGCTAGGCCGTCTATCGGAATTTGATACTTCTCACCCTGAGCGCTGGAGCTCCTAAGTGGCTCGAGTAGAGAATTACTTTTGAGTAAACAAGATCCAAGAAGTCGGCCCTTCTCATATCTTGCAGTGAGAGGCATTGGAGGCTCCAGGCTGTAACGATAAAGATAGCCCATCTATCGGAATTTGATACTTCTCAACCTGAGCACTGGAGCTCCTACATGGCTTGAGTAGAGAATTACTTTTGAGTAAACAAGATCCAAGAAGATGGCCTTAAAGCTGCTACATTGCTGTGTATCTGTGGGCAAAAGACTTTCGATATTGCAGAGAATCTTGTAACCCCAGCACCACTGGAATCAATTGTGTATGCTGACTTAAAGAGGATGCTGCGAGAGCACTTCAAACCCAAGCTCTCAGTAATTGCATAGAGGCACACCTTTGAGCAGAGGGATCAGAGGCCTGGTGAGTTTGCTGCAGACTTTGTTGCTGCCTTAAGACAAGCAGCGAGGCCATGTGCATTTAAGGATCTAGAAGAGAGGCTCCAGGATCGCTTGGTTTGTGGCCTACGAAGTCGTGAGCTGCAACAGAAACTTTTTGCAAAAGAAAATGTC